AGGATTACTAAAAGTCAACTACTCCCTTCGTATGATATAAGATTATTTTGCAAACTGTTTAACTTGCAAAACGATCATATATTATGGGAGAGAGGGAGTAGTTTATAACCTCTCTCTCATACACATCAATACATATATCCAACTTACTCTTTATAATCACTCTCATACACATCAATACAAATCAACAAGCTTGACTTAGGCTTTTTACTAATATTTGCCTAAACTTCAGTAAAACCTCTATTTCCCCAATGTCTTCGAGGAGATCTTTGCAGGCACATCTTTCTTTCTCATGTTCTCCATGATTCCTCGCATGACTGTACAATTAGGTCAATTTCAGGCGATGAGTTGATGGGGAGCAAGACGAAGCAACACAAAATCCGATGAGACGGAGAGAACTAAAGCTATGGCGATAACAAGTTGCTGGTCCGTGGATCTTGATATAATTTTTATTATTTTTTAGGTTTGTTGTATTGTCATGATTAAAGACGAATAGATTGAAAGTTTTGTAAAAAGACAAGTTGTCACGTTTGCGTTTTGTGCTTATCCGTTTCATGTTTGTTTGGCGAATGCCATAAGGACAACTGTCAAGGGGTTTGTCAAAGGTTTCAAAGTACTTTCTCCGTCTCAAAATTCTTGTCTTAGATTTGTCTAGATACAAGTGGTGCTAGTATGTTCTGCGTGAACACGTGGAATTTGGCTATAGTTTGAAATTTATTACAGTGTCTCAAAACAGACATTAAGTCGTGGAATTTTCTTGTTGAAAAATAATAACACTAGGAAAATCCGTCGGGGAGTCCAATTGACGGACCGCCGTCGTGTTCCCGATTTAACTTCCGTCGCATTTCCGCCGTCGTTGTCGGCGCCGACGACTCTTCCCTTCCACACCACCGTGCGGCTGCCGCTCCTCGCCTCGTCCCCATCTCGCCGAAGACCCCACGGCTGCCGCAGGTCCCGGTCCATTTCAGGCCGACTGGTCGACGGGGAGCGAGATGAAGCCGTACAGGACCAGACGACCCCAAAGCCCGGAGGTACTGGCGGAGGCGGCCGGCGATGGAGGGAAGCAGCCGCCGCGCCGGCAGCGCGAGGGCGTCGCTCAAGGTGGTGCTGCTCCACGGCAGCCTCGACATCTGGGTGCGCGACGCGGGGGGCCTCCCCGACAAGGGCGTGCTCTACAAGAAGTTCGGCGACCTCCTCGGCCTGCACATCGTCAGCTCCGTCGCCGGCAAGGTGCCCAGCGCCTCGATGACCAGCGACCCCTACGTCACCGTCCAGGTCTCCGCCGCCACCGTCGCCCGCACCTACGTCGTGCCCAACAGCGAGGACCCCGTGTGGGCGCAGAACTTCGTGGTGCCCGTCGGCCACGAGGCGGCCGAGGTCCACTTCGCCGTCAAGGACAACGACGTCTTCGGCGGCCAGGTCATCGGCGCGGCGGCCATCCCAGCCGAGCAGCTCCTCTGCGGGGACAGGATCGAGGGCGCCTATCCTCTGCTGGATCCCAATGGCAAGCCGTGCGCTCCCGGCGCGGTGCTGCGGCTCTCCATACAGTACACCCCGGTGGCTCGCCTCACAGCGTACCACCGTGGTGTCGCTGCTGGGCCGGACAGCCATGGAGTGCCAAATGCATACTTTCCTCTGCGCCGTGGCATGAGGGTGACCCTCTACCAGGATGCACATGTGCCGGAGGGCTGTCTCCCGGACATCCGGCTTGACAATGGGCTCCAATACCAACATGGGCAATGTTGGCGCGACATGTACACCGCCATAATCCAGGCACGGCGGCTGATTTACATCGCCGGCTGGTCGGTGTTCCACACCATTCGGCTCGTGAGGGACGGGGCCAAGGAGGTGCCGTCACTTGGGGACCTGCTGAAGATGAAGTCACAGGAAGGGGTAAGGGTGTTGCTTCTTGTTTGGGACGATCCAACATCGGAGACTATCATCGGCAGAACGGTATTTTGAGTTACTCATAGAGTCCAAAACTGCTGTGTTGAGGCAATTTTGCATCCAAGCTGAAAATTGTAGTGCAGCCAATCTCCCAGTAATACTTATCATTCATTTGTAAATTTTAAGTTGCTAAACATGTTAAAGATAGGACAGCCTATTTTTACTTCTGATGAAAGAATTTATGTAGACCTCCTAATCAAAATTTTATTATAGGATGGATATATGCGAACACGAGATGAGGAAACACGTAGATTCTTCAAGCACTCTCCGGTTCAAATATTGCTTTGCCCAAGATCTGCTGGGAAACGTCACAGCTGGGTGAAACAGAAGGTTATTCTTATTATTATGTCATATAACCATTTTGCTTATCTGTTATTGTAGATCATCTTTTGTTGGAGACTGAAAGTATTATGTTCAGTGCACCTAGCTAATGTGTGTGATTTTAGTTTGTTTGCCATCCATTATTTTTGCAACCATAAAGTTATATTATGCTGCTGCCTTATATTACTTCATAATATCAGTTCTTACTATTTACTACCTCCGTCCCAAATTATAAGATGTTTTGGTAGGCTATATTTTAGCCTACCGAAACATCTTATAATTTGGAACAGAGGAAGTATTATTTAACCAGGAAACTAAAATATATAGCTGCACACAATTTAAATTGTTTTTGTATTTATTTTCTGAAGTAATCTTGTATTGTATCAATTCTTCAGTGCCATTTATTTATCATATGAAGATTTTGAAAACTAGGAAACAGGAACAACATATAGTCATCATCAGAAAACAGTTATCGTGGATGCTGATGCTGGTGGTAATAGGAGAAAAATAATTGCTTTTATTGGAGGCCTTGATTTGTGTGGTGGACGCTACGATATACCTGGGCACCCTCTGTTTCGGACTCTTCAAACTTTGCACAAGGAGGATTATCACAATCCAAACTTTGCTGTAAGTGTTTGATTCCTTTGTCATGTACTACTTGTGTTGTGTGTTACCGGAGTCTTCTTTTTTTTTAAAGAGTAGGAGCCTTATGTGCTGTTTGCCTTTTAATCATTGAAAGGAGATCATCTTAGGTCAGGAAGAATAATTGCATCATGTCTTCTGCTCAGTGTTTATTCAAATCTCTGTTCTGAAAGTAATTATCCTTGTCATCTGTTTACAGGTGGTTGATGCTCGTGGCCCAAGGGAACCATGGCATGACTTGCATTCAAAAATCGACGGTCCAGCAGCTTATGACGTTCTAAAGAATTTTGAGGAGCGTTGGTTGAAGGCATCGAAACGCCATGGTATTAAGAAGTTTGGAAAATCATATGATGAAGCACTTCTCAGGATTGAAAGAATACCTGATATCATAAACATTAGCGACACATTATATTTTAGCGATAACGATCCTGAGGCATGGCATGTTCAGGTAATTGCAGAATTCTGTAACTGGAGAGATCTCTCTTTTCAAAAACGAAACTCAGGAATCAAGGGTTTTCCTTGCTTCTCGTTTCAATTTTTGGGCATTTAGCTCTCTTGTACTTTGATATTCAGGTGTTTCGATCTATTGATTCCAACTCTGCCAAAGGATTTCCAAAGGATCCACGAGAAGCAACCAGAAAGGTCACTGAATCAATTAAAGCAGCACCACCCGCTAACATTATGTTCTGCAGCTTGCGTGCTTCTAACTAACACTCCTGTTTTGGCTAACAGAATCTTGTTTGTGGAAAGAATGTACTAATTGATATGAGCATACACACAGCTTATGTGAATGCCATCCGGGCAGCCCAACACTTTATTTATATTGAGAATCAGTACTTCATAGGTTCTTCATTCGATTGGGATTCAAACAAAGATATTGGTACAGTATTCTTCTCATGGAAGTACAGAATACACCAAATACCTTGATTGACTACTCAAGATTGCAATGTGTTTTCTTTCAGGGGCTAACAATCTAGTACCAATTGAAATTGCTCTCAAAATCGCAACCAAAATTAAGGTGAACCAGAGGTTCTCTGCATACATAGTGCTTCCTATGTGGCCTGAGGGTAAACCAACTGGTCACATAGCACAAAGAATTCTTTACTGGCAGGTTAGATTGGGCACCTTTATTTGTGCCATGTTACTTGTTTATTCATTATGGAGCATCTCGGTTCATTTATATTGTGGAATTGCTAATTTTCGCTCTTCCTCTGGCATTGTAGAACAAAACAATGCAAATGATGTACAAGATAATATATAGAGCCTTGAAAGAGGCAGGTTTGGATGATGTATATGAGCCTCAGGATTATTTGGTCTTCTTTTGTCTTGGCAATCGTGAAGCTTCTGACAGTCCTAGCGCTTCAAGCACAGCAGATAGTCCTCAGGTGAGAATGATGTCTTGTTTTCCTTTTAAGTCTGAACACATTGTGCTTGTGATCCCTAAAAGATTGGATAAAGCGTATGCCTCTGGCAGGGACGCGTTGCATGTTATATAGGCAAAGAGGTTTACAAGATTTGGTAGTTAGGTTATGTTGGATTGATCCTCAAGAAAGAAACACAAGATGAGGATGAATCCTAACCAACCACAACTACCGGTTACAACACCACGCAACACGCTAGCCTACCGGGCGTATATACGGTTTATACTTATACCGTATATACATGTTACAATGTATTCTAACACGCCCCCTCAATCATAACTTCACCAAGTTGAGATTGCTCTTAAAATCTTCCAATTTTCGCCATGACAAGGCCTTGGTAAACCCATCAGCAACTTGATCACCTGTGGGTATAAACCGAATGTCCAGTAGCTTGGTAGCTACTCTCTCTCGAACAAAATGATAGTCAACTTCTATATGTTTAGTTCTTGCGTGAAACACTGGATTTGCTGACAAATATGTGGCACCAATGTTGTCATACCAAAGACGAGCAACTGGCGAACGAGCAACTCCAAGTTCACGCAGAAGAGTTTGGACCCAGATAATCTCAGCAGTTGCATTGGCTAATGATTTATACTCTGCCTCAGTACTTGACCTTGAAACAGTAGCTTGCTTACGTGCACTCCAAGAAATCAGGTTGGGACCAAAGAACACATAGAAACCTCCTGTTGATCTTCTGTCATCAGGACATCCTGCCCAATCAGCATCTAAGAAGGCACTAACAATGCTGCAAGCTGAGTGAATTTTAGGCCTGTACTCATATTACCTTTGAGATATCTCAAAATCCTTTTAACTGCTGTCATGTGTTGAGAGGTAGGAGAATGCAAATACTGACAAACTTTGTTCACTGGGAAACAAATATCCGGTCTTGTCAATGTCAAATATTGCAAAGCACCTACCATACTTCTATACCTTGTTGATTCTTCAGCCCCCAAAGGTTCTCCTTGTTCCTTTGACAGCTTTTCAGAAGTTGAGAGAGGCATGTTCGAAATCTTGCAGTTTGTCATACCTGCACGTTTCAATATATCCATGACATATTTTTCTTGGGTCAGAAGGATGCCATCTTTTACCTTCTTAACTTCAATTCCCAAGAAATAATGTAGATCTCCTAGATCCTTCAAGGCAAAATCTCTTCTCAAATCTGCCAACAAAGCTACACTTGCATCTTGTGATGAGCTAGCAACAATTATATCATCAACATAGACTAACATAAACATAATAGTCTTTCCTCTTCTAAAAAAGAACAGAGAGGTATCCCCTCTTGATGGTTTAAAACCAAGTGCTTGAAGTTTGTCACACAACCTGGAGTACCATGCCCGAGATGCCTGTTTTAGACCATACAACGCTTTGTCAAGTTTGCAGAGATGAATTTCCTTGCCTCTAATTTCATAGCCAGGTGGTTGTCTCATATAGACTTCTTCCTCTAGAACGCCATGGAGGAACGCATTCTGAACATCCAATTGCCTGAGGCTCCAGTTACTGGATACTGCAACAGAAAGAACAAGTCTGATAGTAGCTGCTTTAACAACAGGACTAAAGGTATCTTCATAATCTATATCGTATCTCTGTTTGAAACCTTTTGCTACTAGCCTTGCCTTGTATCTGTCAATTTGATCATGTGCCTTTCTTTTAATCCTATAGACCCACCTACAATCAATGATATTTTTATTTTTTATTGGTGGGACTAAGTGCCAAGTCTTATTTTTAATAAGAGCATCATACTCATCATTCATGGCCCTCTTCCAATTTGTATCATTCAAAGCTTCTTGCAAGTTATGAGGTTCACCAGTAGTTGTCAGACCACCAAAATGAGGTTTGAGCTTGTCATACCTAATTGTGCCATCTGTACGAATTTGAGGTTTTAAAATGCCATGTTGTGACCGTGTTCGCCGGGTTGGCACATCAGGAGCTGCAGGTGCATGCGGCACAGAAAATCCGCCCGAGGAGGGAGGATCCGTATGCGATCCCATGTCAATGCGCGATCCCGTAGCGGATCTGCCGCCAGCGACAAAGGATATCTCATCCTGTCGGGGCAGATCGACGTGGGAGCCCGTGCGCACGTCTCCCTCGCTTGGTTGGCCCACCTGGCGGCCCGTGAGAGGGGAGCCGATTGGCCCACCTAACGACGCGCTGTCGGGAGATTCAGCGAGCGGCCCAGCGCGCGCCACGCGTCGTTCCCGCGGCGGCGTCTGCGCAGTCGATGCAGATTCGCCCCCTGGTCCACCCGCGTCGCCTGCGCCTGCTGACGCTGCAGGCTCGGGATCGCTGCCCGCAGCACCTGAATCCTCCTCGTGTTCTGCAACAGTTTCGTCTTGTTCTGGCTGCATAAAATCATGCACAAAAACTGGATTTTCTCCATTGTTAGCAACATGATTAGGGCAAAAATTAGCCTGTTGATCAACTACAGGTTCGTCCCCATGATCAAAAGGTGTAGACTCAGGAAGTAAAAGGACTTCTGACCGGAGAGGGGTGCATGCATTAGGATTTAGATTTGCAAAGGGAAAAACTGTCTCATCGAAAATAACATCACAGGATATGTATACTCGTCCAGCAGCAACATCTAGACATTTAAAACCTTTGTGAAGATTGATGTAGCCAAGAAACACGCACTGTTTGGAACGAAATTCTAACTTTTTGGAATTATAAGGGCGAAGATTCGGCCAACATGCACATCCAAAGACCCGAAGAGAATGATAATTGGGTTGTTCTTGAAACAAAGGTGTCAGAGGAGTTTCAAAATTAATCACTTTGCTAGGGGTGCGATTTATCAGATATGTAGAAGAGAGGAAAGCCTCATCCCAAAACTTCAAGGGCATGGAGGCATGGGCTAAGAGAGAGAGCCCTACATCAACAATATGTCGATGTTTTCTTTTTGCTGATCCGTTTTGCTGATGAGCATGGGGACATGAAACATGGTGAGTGATTCTAACTGACGAAAAAAGGAATTTAGACGTTCATACTCGCCACCCCAGTCTGTTTGCATAGTGATTATTTTCTTATTGAACAACCTTTCAACAAGGGGTTTGAAATTCATGAAAGACTTTAAACACTTCGGATCGGTGCTTAAGGAGATATATCCACGTGAATTTGCTGTAATCATCAATGAAAGACACATAATAGTTTTTCTTATTGATAGAATCACGGGCAGGCCCCCATACATCGGAGAAAATTTGCTCTAAAGGAGCTTTAGACACACTGTTTGAACTAGGATAAGGAAGTTGGTGACTTTTGCCCATTTGGCATGCATCACACACTCCTTCTTTATTCAAATCGCTACTAGAAAAGGGAATATTATTCTGGCTAAGAACATGACGCACTATGGTAGATGACGGATGCCCTAGCCGACTGTGCCACCTTTCAACAGGCAGTTTATTGGCACCAAACGCTTGCTTGCTTGAGCTAAAGGGAGCCGATGATACGGGGTAGAGACCTTGTCTACACCTGCCGCGCAGAAGAGTTTTCCTCGTTCCCTGTTCCTTGACGAGAAAAAAAGTTGGGTGAACTTCAAGGAAAGTATGATTATCAGTGGATAAGTGATGGGCGGAGATAAGGTTTTTGGCGGCATCGGGTACATGCAAGATGTTCTTAAGATGAAGATCACGAGTAGGGGTACGAACGGTAGTGTGACCAATATGACTAATTTCCATACCTTCTCCGTTCGCAGTGTGGACTTGATCGTTGCCGTGGTACTTGTTGTGGACGGTCAACTTGTCAAGTTCGCTGGTGATGTGATCGGTGGCGCCAGTGTCCAGATACCAGTTGGTATCTACTCCATAGGACGAGGTTGTGGCAGATTCGGTGCTCTTCTCGTTCTTGGTGTAGGAGATGTCGAAGCGCTGGTAGCATTCGAGGGCGGTGTGATTCGGTCTCTTGCAGATCTGGCAGACAACCTCAGGAAGATCATCGGCTCCTCCGTTGCCGTTGCCGTTGCCGCGGCCTCCATTGCCACGACCACCGCCTCCATTGCCACGGCCTTTGTTGCCACGGCCACCTCCTCCATTGCCGCGGCCACCGTTACCATGGCCAAAGCCACCGCGGCCACGAGAGATAGTGTTGGCGGAGGACTGGGAGGAGTGGTTTCCACCTTCGAACATGGCAAGACGCTTTTCAAAACCGCTCAACTGAGAGTAAAGTTCATCTACCTTGATTGGTTCAGTCCTCGCGGCGCAGATGGACGAGACAAACGAGATGTAGTCGTAGTCTAGTCCGGCAAGGATGTAGGAGACCATGTCATCATCGTCGAGCGGCTTGCCTGCTGAAGCCATCTCGTCGCCCAGCGCTTTCATGCGCCCGATGTAGTCGGCGATGGTCGCGGTGCCCTTTTTGGTGGTGGAGAGGGCGATCCGCGTGTTGACAATGTTGGCCTGTGTCTGTGAGAGGAACATCTCCCTGATGGCGGTCCATGCCGCGGCGGCCTTGGTGCAGTGGGCGACTTGGATCACCACAGGTGGCGAGATCGAGTTGAAGATGAAGTTGAGTACCTGTGAGTCTTGCGCCACGGTGACAAGATACTCCGGGTTTGGCGCATCTGTCGGCTTGCCGTCTTTATCGGCGAGCTTGGGCTCCGGGAACGGGTGATCAGGGTTGAGGAGATCGACCAGCTGTGCTCCACAGATGGTGGCTAGGGCTTGCGCGCGCCAGACCAGGTAGTTTCCCCGGTGCAGCTTGTCAGCGATGGGAATGAGGGCAAAGGCGGCGGTGGCAGCAGAGCTGGAGCTAGCCATGACTAGGTTTGGATGTTGGAGAGGAAGTTGGCTCTGAATACCATGAAAGATTGGATGAAGCGTATGCCTCTGGCAGGGACGCGTCGCATGTTATATAGGCAAAGAGGTTTACAAGATTTGGTAGTTAGGTTATGTTGGATTGATCCTCAAGAAAGAAACACAAGATGAGGATGAATCCTAACCAACCACAACTACCGGTTACAACACCACGCAACACGCTAGCCTACCGGGCGTACCGGGCGTATATACGGTTTATACTTATACCGTATATACATGTTACAATGTATTCTAACAATCCCTAGCTGTTTTGATTCATCCCAGGAAGGTTGAAATGTTTGAGTTTTCAGTTGCAATATAATAGTAGAGAAGTTAGATGCGTCAAACTTAATGCCCTTCACCTGGACAGAACTTGACAGTTCTGTGTTTGTCTCGGAAAAGTATTGACATGGTTATGTTAGCCTCTATGATCCATGATGCACCACAATGCCAAAGGTTCAGATCCTTTTTGTCTCTTGCTTCAGAAGGATGCAAGCGGGAGGCTCGCGAATACCCCCATCCAAACATACAAACATAGGATCGATTTGATAGGTCTATATGCGGGTTTTGCAGGATGCCCACCTGCATCCTTATAGCATATGGGTTTTATTTTGAATAGCCGTGTGACATTAGTTCTGAAAGGAGATTGGTATAAGGTCTTGTGATTTTTGTCATATTTTCTTTGACCTTGGACATAGTACTCATTTACACTTTACTGTTTAGGAACAAGCTAGGAAAAATAGGAGGTTCATGCTGTATGTACATTCAAAGGGCATGATTGTGGACGATGAATATGTGATAATTGGATCAGCTAATATCAACCAGAGGTCCATGGAAGGAACCAGAGATACTGAGATTGCTATGGGAGCGTATCAACCACAGTACACCTGGGCAAATAAAATTTCTGCCCCTCGTGGACAGGTAATCCTGTTATGCCTCATTTTTCAAGCTCTTGCTTCTGCATAACATTTATTGGTACTTGTAGGACTGACATGTCTTCATTGGCTGATTGGCTCTGTTTTTCACCTGTCGTTTTTGCCATTACATGACCTCAGATGCACCCGTTTGATATTTACATTTTCTTTTATTTATTGGATTGGAATAGCAAGAATGACACTAGCACTTCTGATGCCAACTCTACTAGTACAGCTTTTGATGCATTAAAGCTAAATAATTTAGTGAGTTATGACGCAACTGATATATCTTGAATTGTTCTCTAAATAAAATTTGTGTAGGTTTACGGGTACAGAATGTCGCTCTGGGCTGAGCATATCGGAGCTATCGAGGAAGACTTCAACCATCCAGAGAGCATAGAGTGCATGAGGCGGGTTCGACATCTCGGGGAACATAACTGGGATCAGTTCGTTGCCAATGAGGTGACTGAGATGAGAGGGCACCTCTTGAAGTACCCTGTAAGTGTTGACCGTGAAGGCAAGGTGAAACCCTTGCCAGGATGCACGACATTCCCAGACATGGGCGGGAACATTTGTGGCTCTGTCCCCTTTACACTCATCCATGATAACCTCACAATATGAATTTGGTTGTGCAAGTATGTATAGTTGCTAGTGGTTTCTGGGGTAGCCTGGACAGGTAAAATGGCAATTTTATAGTATCTTGGATGTTGTTAAGGACGAGCCGTGAGAATTGTTAGTTATGTTCTTCAAGTAGTATGATGTTAGTTGCCCAAAGCTATGATCCAAATAAGTTAAGCTTTTTCATACCAATACTAGGTAGAAATATGATTGGATTTTTTTAAACATATTTTGAACCAAAAAATTGAATGAGCAACTAAAACTACAAATATTAATGGTTTTAACTAGCAAGATGATGTGGCCGTCGATTTTGCCATGTGTGCACTTACAAGCGGGACTCGCCCATTAGGAATCGTGTAAACATAGTTTTTTTTTTCAAGAAATCTTTCAATCTATTCATCAATTATTAAGGTAGTATAAAAAACATCAGAAGTAAAAATTACATCCAGGTCTGTAGACCACCTATCGATGAGTACAAACACTGAAGCGAGGCAAAGGCGTGTTGCTGTCCATCGCCCCTTCCTCATCGGAGCAGGGCAAATATTGTTATAGTAGACAGTTGAAAAGTTGTCATGATAATGCCCCACAGGACTAGCACACTAGAACATCAACCGTCACCAATAAATAGAAGTGTAGATCAGAAAGATCCAACCTGCAGACACACATATGTAGACGAACGAAGACTGGATCCAGACAGATCCACCGAAAACAAATGCCGACCGCATCCCACGAGATTCGCTGCCACACGCCCTCCGGCGACGGTAGAAGCATCGCCAGGACGGGAGCTAGGCTGCGAGGACCTAAACCCATCAAAAAGAAACCGCCGATACCTCGTCTTCTTATCATAACACAGATCCTAACAAAACTCAGAAAAACACCTAAAACCGGAGCTCTCCCGCCGGCAAAGGCCGGCATCCACCGCGCCTCCATGGTCCAAGGACCATAGGAGACGAGGCGGACCGGCCGCGGTGGCGACAAGAAGTAGAGAAACTCTAGATGAGAGTTCTTCGTGTAAACAGAGTTAAGCGATGGATTAGAGTTAGATGCAAAGGGTTGCATCAATATGCGGTGTCTTGGTGCAACAAACCCTAAGGGCAACTTCAATGGGGCGGCCCATTTCGTCTGCTGGCGTTCGTTTGGGTCAGCACGGACAGAAAAAGCGGCCCAACGCACCGACCCAAACGGACGCACGTCCGCTTGCCGTCCGCATGTCGACCCATTCCTGGCCCAATTTTGAGCCGGATTTGCATCGGCGCGGACACGAGACGAACGCGCGCGCCTACTCCTCTCCCCAGGCCCGCCGGTCGGTGGCAGCCACTACCATTTCCCCTCAAAACCCTCCGCCCCTGCCCCACACCCGCCATCGACCTTGACGCCGCCGCCGACCCCACCTCGTCCGGCTGCCGCCCCGTCCGGGAAAGGCAAGCCTCGTGCCCCGCACAAGACCGCCGCCGCGGCCAAGCCAAAGAAGCCGCTGACTCCCACACAGCGGGCAATGGAGTCGGCCAAGAGGAAGGACCGAAGGCACGCCGTGGACGCGGGGGATGAGGCCGCCGCGCAGGCCCCCATCATCGCTGCTGCGCAGCAGGAGGTCACCAACACCCGCGTCGCAGCGGCAATGAGGGAGGCTGTCGGTGTCAAAACCGGCGGATCTCGGGTAGGGGGTCCCGAAATGTGCGTCTAAGGCGGATGGTAGCAGGAGGCAGGGGACACGATATTTTACCCAGGTTCGGGCCCTCTTGATGGAGGTAAAACCCTACGTCATGCTTGATTTATTCTTGATAATATGAGTAGTACAAGAGTTGATCTACCACGAGATCGGAGAGGCTAAAACCCTAAAAGCTAGCCTATGGTATGATTGTATGTTCTCCTGTGGACTAAAACCCTCCGGTTTATATAGACACCGGAGGGGGCTAGGGTTACATAAGGTCGGTTACAAAGGAGGAGATATACATATCCGTATAGCCTAGCTTGCCTTCCACGCCAAGTAGAGTCCCATCTGAACACGGGACGAAGTCTTCAATCTCGTATCTTCATAGTCCAACAGTCCGTCCAAAGGATATAGTCCGGCTGTCTGGAGAGCCCTTAATCCAGGACTCCCTAAGTAGCCCCTAAACCAGGCTTCAATGACGATGAGTCCGGCGCGCAGTGTTGTCTTCGGCATTGCAAGGCGGGTTCCTCCTCCGAATACACCACAGAAGAGTTTGAATACAAGGATAGTGTCCGATCCTGCAAAATAAGTTCCACATACCACCGTAGAGAGAATAATATTTCCACAAATCTAATCTGCTGACACGTTTTGGCAGCATGACATCACGCCATGGCCTGGTAATTATTCGAACCGTTTTTCTTTAACTAGCCCCGCACATAACGCGAGGCGGTTTGTTGACACGTCTTGTCAAAGTAGGGATCGTGTTCCCCTTATTACGGGATTCTCATCAATACGGACGTGGGTAACCCAACCGCGCCACCAATTACGGCGCTTGGGGGATAAGTGAGTTTTACCAGGCTAGTGGGGGCGCATGGTTTCATCCGCCCTTATAAAGGAATAAGGTCTCACCTTTTTCTACACACGCCTTCTTCCTCCTTGCTTATCCATTCTTGCGCACTCGAGCTCCAACGCCCAAGTCCACATCCTTCTCCTCAACTCTCTCCAAACATGTCCGGAGCGGGAGGCAAGTGGATGGCCTCCTCCATTACGGAGGGACATATCAAAAAGCTACGTGGAGCCGGATACTTAGCCGCGGATATCGCGCACCGGCTGCCAGCCGCGGGGCAGGTCGTCCCTACCCCGGAACCTCATGAAAGGGTGGTTTTCCTCCCCCACTTCGTCCGCGGACTGGGGTTTCCCCTCCATCCATTCGTCCGCGGCCTCATGTTCTATTATGGGCTGGACTTTCATGATTTGGCCCCAAATTTCATCCTCAACATCTCGGCGTTCATCGTCGTGTGCGAGGCTTTCCTCTGCATCCGGCCCCACTTCAGCCTGTGGCTGAAGACCTTAAATATCAAGCCGAATGTGGTGGGCGGCCAACAAGCGAAATGCGGAAGAGCCATGGTGGGCAAAATGCCCAACGTTATATGGCTTGAGGGCTCCTTCGTGGAGACCATAAAAGGGTGGCAATCGGGGTGGTTCTACATCACCGAGCTGCGCGACACCAACTGGGTGGCGGTCCCCGAGTTTCGATCCGGATTCTCCACGCGGCTCACTTCCTGGAAGGAGAAGGGCCTGTCCTGGGGTTCATCGGTGGAGCTGGACGGACTCCAGAAGTGTATCCGAAATATGATAAGCAAGAAACTTAAGCTTGTCAACATAGTCCAGGTCATGCTCTTCCGCCGGATCCTCCCCTGTCAACAACGGGATTTCAACTTATGGGAGTTCGACCCGGCCCAGCACCAGACTCTACACGAGCTCTTCGACACGACGCACAAGGACGTCTGGAGGGTGCTATTCAAGGGTGCCGAGGTCCCTCCTTCTCTTACCGAGGACCGCGGATTAAGCGCGAAGCGCCCTGCGAATCGGTAAGTTATGTACATCCGGTAGGATATTTATTTCCCATAGCTTAACCATGTGCGGGGTCTGAGCTCCCATGCCTTTGACAGGACTGGGTGGAGACATCGGAGCAGATTAACTGTCCGGCCCCTCTGCCCGAAGACACTGCGGACGCTCTCCTGACGGAGATGCTGACTCCGGCTCCTTATGAGGTGCCGGAGAAGACCAAGAAGAAGGCCAAGGGAATCTGAAAAAGTTCCCGGCGCCAGGTGGTATCGGACTCATCGTCTGATAACTCCGCGATGCACTCCTCCCATGAAAACGAGGAGGAAGATGAAGATGCTCCCCCTCCAGCCGGGGGAGACAAGAAAAGGAAGGCCGCCCCAACCGAGGAGGCCGAAGGGTCCAAGAAGGGAAGGACTCTTCTTTCGGACTGCTCCACCACCGCCGCCGAAGGCGAAGACGAGTGGCTGCTCAGGGCCAAGCCCCTGGCGAAGTCGTAAGTATTCGGATACCAGAGTAACTCATAGCATACCTTTGTCGCACTACTTCTCCTAACGCCGAATATGATTATGCAGACCGCCCCAAGCCCGTATTGACGTATCCTCGTCGGACGGTTCCTTGGACTCGTTGGATATGAATAGCGATCCACTTCCGACTGCCTCCTGCCCTTTCCCTATGGACAATGCCGAGGTATTGTCTCAAGAGGCACCGGGCCGAGGGGAGACAGTCTCGGAGGTGCCTCAAGGCGACCTTCCGGACTCCAGGAGCAAAGAGAGTAAGGCTCCCGGGGGCTCCAAGTTCGGCCCTTGGCCGAACACCGCGCCGGAACCTCCGGTGGTTCCGGACTCGGGCAGGCGGCCCCCTTCCAAAAGGGGCAAGACGCCCGTGCCGGTGACCTCTGTCCATCTAGAGGCACCGAACAACCTGCTGGGAGCGCTTCGCGGTGCTTCCATAGACGAAGAGCACCGCACTATTATGAGTGCGGTGATCAAGAAGGTTCAGTCCGCCAAGAGCGGACTGACTGAAGCCTGTGCCAGCCTTCTAACAAGCTTTGACGTAAGTATTTAAAATATAGGAAAAATATTACCGCATAGATAGTAGCCCTTGATGCTCTGTTTGGTGTTCACAAAGAAAAGCCGAATAGAGGATCAAATAATATCTGCAGGAGTCTAATATAAATATGTCTGTATGCGTATGCAGGCTTCGCCGCTGACCTCTGCCGCTCTGACTGCGGAGGTCGCCGCATTGAAGCAGGACCTCGAGGGGTCCGAGAAAGAGCTCGGCCTTGCCAAGAGGCAGCTCGAGGAGAACAAAGGTAAGTAATACCTTGTCTATATATATAAAAGAAAATGTGGTTGCGAAATGACAGGATCATCATGAATGTGCCAGGGGCCACGACCGAGGTGGTGACCCTGAAGCAAGCGCTGTCCGAGGCCGAAAACAAAGCAGCCCGGGAGCGCACCGAGCGGGAAAAATAAGAGGTACGGGTGGGCGAGGTGCAGCAAGA